AGGACACAATTGATATTCGCATAAAAAACCAGTCAATCTTGATGATTTTGATGAGATGATCAACTCACACTGGAGTTTTTAATGGTAAAGCTGTTACACAGGACTTACGACCGCATGGGGAACGAATTTGGATCCCAATTTCACAAATATGCAAAAAAAAGCGATGCAATATTTTAAGTTATAGTTCATTTAATATTGATATATTGATGTAGTGATTTGATGTTGACTATCAAATATTGCCAAAGCCCTTACTTTGAACATGGACCTAATGAGAGAAGGCCTTCTCTCATTAGGTCCATGCTTTGAACGGGTAAGAGTGGGTAAGAATCTGTTCTCGCAAACCCGGTGACATGGGCATAAACATCTACATAAATAAATTGCATTTGAGACAGTTTAATGCGTTCATCAGACTGTGATTGTTGACTCTCAGTTACCAAGCAAAGCTTTATAGTTTCGTTATCACACATTTCCTCTTTCTTTTTCTATATGAAATCTATGTTTAGCAGCGGGTCTGCGATTCAAACTTCTGTAATAGGTTGAAAAGCAGGTCCTGTCATCTCGTTCACTTCCTTTTTTTTTTTTTGGTTTGATTTCCAGATATGAACATTTTAATTTTGTACTGTACTGAGAGTGTCTGTAAGATACACCTAGCGAAACCATTCACGTGTATCAAAGAGACGATCATCGGCTGCCTTTGATGAACACCAACTCATCATCAACGGGTCACTCCCCGGGGAGCAGAACGTGCCTACCGATGCGGGCGTTCATGGCTGTCTCTCCCAAGTCGTCCGTGGGAGCTAAAAAAGCCGTTTTTGTGTGTAAATACGCCAAGCGAAGCGGAGCAAAGCAATGGCCTACTGGCAACCTGCCCGCCTTCTCTCTCTCCCCTCTACCAACCAAGTACAATGCCCGCCGTGGCAGAGTAAATTTGCCTTTATGACATGTCTATAGCAAATACTGTGGAAGCTTCCACTTCTTCTTTAACTTATTGTAACTAGGCGGTAGCATTACCTTAAAGCATTTGATAGTAAATGTTAGATGTAAACATTGAACAACTGACGGTTTCAAATTGTGGATATTCTCCTCTCTGTTCCTTAGGTGTCTTCTTGATGATTAATACGGGTACAGCGCCGGTGGTCGTAGTACTATCAACAAAATGAAATCAAACCAAAAATGGAACTTTTTTATTATTAAATAGTAGTGTCATTTTCCCGTGCGACTTATGCCGGTGGCCGCAATATTATCAGCAAAATAAGACCAAACAAAAATGGGATTTTTTTAGAATTAAATAGTGGCGGAATTATCCCTTGAAATCCTAAACCTGATAAATAAGGGTATTTTTTTTAGGCATAGAAGCTGTGGAAAGTTTGAACTTAAGTTGTCATTCCTTCCTTCATCGACACGTTCTTTCTGTCTGTGGATTAAAGCGACACCCAATAATGAAATTAATTGTTTTATCGCTGATGTAACAAATTTGGGTTTTCTATTTCTGGTTTGTATTTTTCTGGTTCATTGTGCCAATGTTATGTTGGTATCCCCTTAAACAACTGGGGGGGGGGGGGGGGGTCATGTCGTAGATTTCAGATATGTACCAACATTGCAAAAGTCTATACTGTCGTCTCTATTATATTTACCATGCCACTAAGTATGGAGGAATACTCAAAACCAAATCAAAAATTTGAAGAATACGCATGCCTTTGGTGTCAATAACATTGTTTTCTAAATATTTAGTTTGAAAAGGATCAACCGGTGTTAAAAAACAAAGAAATACTCCCGTCCGTAACTCGTCTATTTTTACCAGATCCATCCAGCCAAGAACGCCGAGTCGCTGAAAGCTTCCAGCGCAACCCCACCTGGGTGCAAGCACCGTACCGGTTGCCAATGGCGATTTTGCACGTGCAGAAACTCATTTGGCAGATTATTGACAACTTTGTTGACAAACACGCGTAAACAAAAGGTGCAAACACGAGGGGTAATACCGCCACGCGGAGGTGATTAGTACCCCTCTGTAATTATCTGCTTAAAACAGTTCGCACGTGCGCGTGAAAGCATTAATGCCAAGAAGCAAAGCTCGCCGCGGCAGTTGGGTTTCTTAATGACGGAGAACCCTGCCTTTGTTGTTTGCCTGTTACTAATCCGTCGTCACTTTTGGTCTATTTGAGTCGTGAATATTTAGAAGTAATCAGGTAAAAAGGTGAGGATAGAAATCAGGCCAGAGCGACCCACAGGTGGAAGAGCCGTGTGTCGAGATATTTCAGATATTTAGAAAACAAGTGAACGAGAGAGAGAGAGAGAGAGAGAGAGAGAGAGAGAAGAGGGAAGGGGGAGAGTAAAAAAGAGTTTGTTTGCGAGAGAGAGAGAGAGAGAGAGAGAGAGAGAGAGAGAGAGAGAGTACCTCTAACTTGATGTTAATGCCCCCAAACCAAGGCTGAGATAAATGTGAACAAGGGAAGCGGAATCAAGGTTAACATTTCCCGCTTTGGTAAAATCTGCCATCCAATCTCTTACCATCCCTTAATTTCTAATGAATTGTTCTACTTTTTTTATTAAGTTTCTTTCTTTGCCATGACATCACCAGGAAGTCGTTATGTGAAGAGGAAATGCGTTTATCATATTATTGCTCCTGAAGACGGCAATACGTTTTATAATGTTTTTGTTATCCTTTTTCGGAGTCAGTACCCGGGCCTGTGCTATCTATGATGTCTCTAGACTAATTCCAGGATTAATCTGAAATGAAATTTATTGTGCGGGAGGAAATATGGAGAAGCAATATTGAAGTCAGAACTAAGTAGAGATAAGTGATAAGGTGTCGGTTTTCTGGATAAATGATAGAAAAAGTATTACAGAATTTATTGTTGATAGCAACAAGGAGTTGTATCATAAACCTCCTTGATAAAAACATCATAAAAGGTTAACAAGTGCACGAAAGGTAGCAACAATTCTTTATTTAGTATAATATATTGCCGCCTATTGAGAATTGGTAAAAATCTATAACCATGGATTTGTGAGGGGAAAAAAAGCACAGAATTTAATCTCCACACCACTCCCAAACCTAAATAACCTACATCGAAGACATTTATGCTAACAGGGTCTGCTTCAAATTAGATCCCAACCGAAATGTTTTGTCTTCTTAGACTTTTCGCAATTCAATTCAGTATAATGTCTTTATTAAATTTGATTCATTGGCACCTCCTGTTCCCTAAGCCGGGCTGCATGCCCCGTATAATAGACGGCACGCGGTCCACGCGAGGCAAATCTCCTCGTGCCGGGAAACGGGTAGACGCCGGGCCCATATTGCGAAGAAATTTGTTCAAAAATTGAGATAACGTTAAGCCCATTGGACGCTGGCATTCTTCGGGTTCTAAATCAATCTTTATGGAGCCATCGTGCTATCTTCGAAGGGTAATCCCTCCATTCTTTCTCGAGACTTTTTGTGTAGATTTATAACGGGTATCAAGGCAATTAGCGCCCCGCCTGCCCTCATGGATGTTGCATTTGTCTATCCATATCTCTGGCCCCTTTATCTGGCAAAGGCCTTCAATGAGGCAAATGTATAATGATACGCCATAATGTCAATTTGTACGAAATCAATATAGGCAAAATCGCAAGAGGTAAGCTTTAAAACAAATTTCTCATGATTGTTATATATTTATCATTCCCCGAAATTTGCCATCCACCGCATTGCATTCTCTGAGCCAGATGTATGTGTATTCATACAACAGACCAGTTTTAGGCACAGAGTGGGCGGTATTGACAACTGCCATGCCCTGTATGTGTATATTTCAAAGCAATAGATAATACGCACAAACGTTCCCTCGTCTCCCTGTATCTCGGAATGCGTTATCGTGGTTCACGCCATGTTTGACAAAAACCTGGAGTAAAACATCTAATAACCACGCGAAGAGAGCAAATTCAGATTGTAAAGCGGTTCTAGTTAACCGCTGACCAACCGCCCTGGAATGTTCGAATGCAGTGGTGGATCCAGGGGAGGGCACAGCTGGCACTCCCCCCCCCCCACCACGACCACTAGACTCCTGTGGTTCGCGATCCCCCCTCCGCCCTTCATAAAACAAAGTATACGAGCGAAACGAGACAAATTAAGCATTTTTCCAACCCTGTGCCCTACACTTTGTAGTAAAATCCCCTCATCTACTGTATAGATATCTTGTGCAAAAAAAATTAAGATTGAATATCAAAACCAAAACGCCAGTGGAACGATCGACTGTTTTTGATTCCTCCTTTCTGCACAAAACGGGCCTTTCAGAATTGTTTCGAGTTTTCGTTTCATTTTCGTCTGCGCGAGAGATGCCGCATTTCGACATTTCTTCTTAAATAACCCAACTTGCTTTAAACATGACAGTCGCATATATACATTTAATTTTTGGAAAAAAGGCTTTCTTATTTTCAGTCAAAACATAACCGAACAATCTGTATCTTAGGGCGTTAGTTACAATTACCCCAATCTACCAATCTGACACGTGTCAAAACGCCTGCACGGGGCATCAACATGGACATCATCAACTCGATCTTGACACTTATGATATGCTGAGCGCACCTTGTCATTTTTCTTACGTTTGACCATGCCCACCGCGAAGTTATTCTTGAAGTTCGGTTCGAAACTTTATTCCACTTATGTATGTACATGTGCCTTTTTTGTGGGGGTTGTGTAGGACAATTCATTAAGTTGTTCACCGTGAGCTTCATATTCCCACAGATCCAGTTTTCTACTATTTCTTTTTAATTGGCATTTCATCTCAAGTAGCAGTGCTATTGGGTAATATAGGGGACGACAAGAAAATAAAAACTAGACAGGCCATCATCATAGAACCTAAATCCAGGAGTTAACAAAGAAAATCTGATAAGTTTTAAAATTTTTCTGTTAGAAAGTACGAAAAGGTTTACAGATTAAAAAAAACGTAAACCGGACTTGATGTATACCGTAATTTTTCTGCCGAAATCCCTTCTAGTTAAACAAACAACAACATACACATGGATTTATATTTGAGAAAACCGTTCATCTTTTATTGAAAACAATATAAAGTTAAGCTTCTTTCTTTAATGAAATAAAAATATATATGTATAAATGAAAAATTCTCTTGCAACCAGTTGCAAAGTGTCATGGCAATGTCGAAGTTGGACGAAAATGTCCGAAATGAGACGAAAAGTCCGTGAATGTGAAAAAAAAGTATTTCACCATGGTCTCCACATTCTGTCATTTCTGTTGAGCTCAGCGTTTACAAAACTATGTCCATTGTTGTTTCCATCAACTTTACAAAAGTTTGTCAGTGGCGCCAAACCAGATTCAACTGTTGTCTGCTTCTGCTGCTGAGCGGGACTGAGCTGGTGCATTGTGGGAATGTTCAAGACGGTGGGAGAAGTCGTCTGCAACTGTTGTTGTCCCTGCTGCTGCTGCACGTTCGGTGATGTTTGCAAAACGATGGGCATGGCAGTGACATTATTTACTGGGCTTATAACATTGGATTGCTGTTGTAGCAACTGTCCATTTTGAATTTGGCTGGGGCTTTGCAGAATATATGCCACCTGTCCATTTGGAAGCGTGCCTGGAATGAGTTGGAATGATCCAGTGATGTTCGACTGAACTAGTCCATTTTGAGGGCATGAGACGGTAGGCTGTTGCTGAGTTTGCTGTGGTTGACATGGCAACATACTCGGCGTCGTCACGGTGGTAAACTGGGAAGCGCTTGGAATCTGAACGTGGATTGGCTGGAGAGTTTGCGGTTGTGGTTGCTGCGGCGCTGCTATTGTCTGTGGAGCTGTGATCGTCTGCTGCACGGTTGACGCAGACGATGACGTCTCTGATGGCGTGACTTGGTTGACTTTGTATGCGCAGGAGGCGAGGTGGTTCAGGAGGTGCAGGCGGACGTCCTCGTTAATTCCGTCAATAGAACGCATGTAACGCGTCACCTCGTTGGCACATTCATTGAAGCCCGCTCTATACTTTCCTAGCACGCTTGGGTCACTGGTGACAGCAGCTGAAGAAGATAAACAAAACAACATAAGAAAAAAATCCTCAAGCCAAAATTCAAAAAGACAACACCGTCACATAAACTAGTAGACATATTCAAATGTAGTACCAAATTGCATAAATCACCGGACAAGTTTGCTAATTGAAATATAAGCATCATGTAAATTTGGTTGATTAACGACACATTTTGACTATATTCTCTTACCTGCCATTTGTTGTCTTTGAATGCTTCTCAGATGTTTCACCGTCATTTCTAAAATGTCTGCTTTCTCCAACTTGGAATACCGAGACGTCTGTAAAAACAAAGAAATAAAACATAAACACAAACCCAAAACATAAAAATATGAAAAAATGTACTCGACAGTAGTTGGAAAATTCAGTAACGATCAACGAATACATTGAACAGTAGTCAACGAATGCCCTTTTAACAAAAAACATCCCGAAAGAAATTAATCTCAACCGACTGCGTGTTGTCGTGTTGTGTTGTCACTCGTTAAGTTGACCCCAGCGCCCCCTCGCGTCTGCTGGCGCGTGTCCTGCTAGTGACCCGTTGCGAAAGTTAAAGCATCGTCTGCTTCGAGAGCGTGGGAACGAACCGCATTAAAGCAACCTAAGGAATTTTCAGTCACGTGCTGGCCACACTTTGTCAAATTTCATTAATTCTAACTTTAAGAAGTGGTTAGTTGAATAAAGATACATTGTTCTCCAAACTTAATCAGAGTTGTCGTCTGCAATCAAAGCTTGTCGTCTCCCGAATTGCGTTTTTTTTTTCTAACCCCGAGGTTTTACTTTTTAAGACGTCTCATTTTACAGCAAATTTTCGCTGTCTCAATAACTTTCTAAGTTTGTTTAGTTTTCAAGTCGGAAAATGTTTATTCTAAACTATCGGGTGGCTTCAATTTGTGTCGTATATAAAGAGGGATACTTACATCTCTTTGCATTGCCTGCAGCACAAGGGCTTTCAACTCTGTTAAACATTCATTAATTCTTTGACGTCTGCGTTTTTCCATCAAAGGTTTGTTAGTCTGCAAAAGATAAAATGTAACATTTAAAATACAACAAAATTTCAATATGTACATAAGAAGTTTCTTTCAGTCACAACAAATCATCATTGCTGCAAGTGTTTAAAAGTAAACAAAATATCATAATATGAAAACAAGTATCAAAATATCAAACTTACCCTGCGAGCATGAGAAGCCGAGGATGAAAGTAAAGTTGAGCCTTTTTCAGCCATTTTGCAATGAATCTGTAGCTATCCAATATGATATAATGCTATATCCTTCTTGAAGAGTCGATCTTAAAATTCCAGCAGTGTTTTAAGTACAAGAATCTCAGAGTGTGGGAAAATGTGAACTTAACCAAGATCTTATACTCACCGTCTGTCGGTATGTGCTGCGATTTCGATACAACCAACCAATCAGAGGCCTTGAAACCACTTCATGCGGCGACGTCGCGTGGCAAAGGCAATCTGATTGGTTCACACCACCGAACCAGCTGTCAATCACCGTCTCGAGAGGCGCACTAATAATTGCGTACACGCGACCTGTCTTTGTGTGAGTGTGTGGGAAAACCCCGCCCCCTCGAGTCCCAAGCCTGCTCTGTCAACATGGGCAAGGGTGATAAAGCATAATAAAGCATACCGACACACAAAAGAAGGTAGAGAGGCCCGCGACTGAACACGACACACGCACACCCATGCTTTTGTGTGCTGAGATCGTAATCTCCCGTTCAAACCGTGGGAAAGTGGCTTCAGAGGTAAATAAACCACCTGAAGATTTTGAGACAGTTTTTAAGGGGAGGCCAAAAGAGAAGAGTTATATAATAGGAGGGAGATTGCTGAACATTGCAAAACTGAAATGTTCAATGTTGTACCTGCATTTTGTATGCAAATAATGTATGTCTTTGAAACAGTGTCATAAAAAACACCTGCGAGTTTTCAACGCAAATTATAAATGGATGTTTTGTATTAACATTCAAATTAGTTCCGAAAACAAAAAGGCATTTTGAAACTTTTATGGCACTTTTTAAACGTATACAAATTATGATTATTTACTCACACTACATGTACATCTTTCTACTCCTTCACCCATATTTTATCAATCTATATGTTTCAATATCTAAAGAAGGAATACATATATTTTGTTCCAAATACATATGGAATTCAAATTTGAATGTCCTATATCTATTCCAAGCAACATTATTGTCATATGCCCCTAGGTGTTTTCATAAGAATTTAGAATTTTTGTTTTCCCCTCCGCCTCTCCCCCAATCATTGTGTGTCACTGTTGCCAGCACACCTGTACATCTTAAAGCGCGAGGCAAAATGATTAATGTTTAACTGCCACAACACCTTGGCAGCACCGCTGATGGATTGACGGGACAGCACGCTGCACATGCAAAAAATAAAGAAAAAAGAAATCAAAACATAAAGAAAAATGATGCTGAGATTCGGTATTATTAGCCCATATGCCAGGTTTTGATAGTGCCAGTTTCAGATTCTTGTACATAAAGGAAAGATCCCATTTACAGTTGATCGCCAAAGTGTCGAGGTTACCGTTTTTAATTATTTCTACATAAAACGTTCTAAGCACGAGACCAGAGGGGAAGAAAGGGGACGTGCAGTTTTACACCCTTCTCCGGCCACTTGAAATACGAAGAAGTGGAAATTCCCACATATAAATTCTAATTCCGTTGAAACAGGATGTTCAGCTTTCCGCTTACAAAAGAAAAAAAAACATAGAAACGAAGAAAATTGACTAGTTTATTCCTGACTTTAATTCCCTGATTTCAGTCAATAGCAAACAAAGTGAAAAAAAAACAATGCGACTTCTTATTTTGAGTTTCGTTATGTTTGTTACTGTCAATTCGCATTGCGTGATCAACCAAAACTTTTTTGTTAAGTTGGCAGCCATAATAATTTATAGTTAAGAGACAGGAAGTAGTGAGAAGTGCTTAACCGGTAATCTTATATTATCTACAGTGCTTGTATTACCTGTCAACAAACAGCAAGGATCGGCAAATGACACGTTGACATTTTCCTCCCCCCCCCCCCCCACCCCCACCCATTTGATTTCTTTGTATCTAAAATGCCGGGTTTTCTTATATTTTACTATTGTCACCGTTTTATTTGTTCGTCGCAACCTTAATCTAAATTACCTAAATACTTCCTCTTTAAGCTAGAGTTACCCGCAAAAAAATGAGAATTTTCATTTTGTTGATAAACAACTACTGTCGACACTCACATTTTCCGTTTTTCGTAAAAACTCGATGCCTCACCGCTGTGCTTTTTTTTAATTACGTTGCTGTCTCTCCTCTCAAAGTATGCGTCACCGGTAAGATACGAGGCATTAAAATCCGGGATAAAAAAATGACGCGATAGTTCCGGGACTTTCTTTTTTAAGACAACTTTGTAAAGAAAATAGATTAAGCGTGTTTCTCCGGTATGTGATCTATTCAAAAATAGTTCAAAATAATGAGAATTTTTCTGTTGTTGTTGTTGTGGGCGATTCCCGTTATGCCAAAATTTTATTTCGTCATCGATGTCATTAAAACATTTTGATTTAAAACATTACATTCAGTTGATTCTGCAAATGTCTGAAGTGAAACAGAAATGTAAGAATCCAGTTTGAGAAACGTTTTTCACACAGAAAACGAAATGCGCTATATTTTGTTGAAGCTCTACTTATTCCTCATTTCAATAAATTTTCATTCATAAACAACACTGCAAATGCAGTATACCGTGGGAAAAAGATTTAAACAAAACATTTTACAGGGTCCCTATCTTTATAAACTTAAGTAATGTTTAATAGGATAGCTGTTAAGACAAGATAAGATCGCATCACAACATTGTCTGTGGGATAAACCGTTTGTATTTGCGTAATACTGAGATAAGACACCAGAAAATAATGCGTGTCCCCTTTTCCCCATAACCGTTATCATTGCTATAGTCCTGTGAAATGACATATCAGATCCTTCTCACTCCGTTTTTGCATTTTACCCATGTCGTTCCCAGCACTCGACTTTCTGGAATCTACAGAGAAAATGTTATTAACGATTTGAAATTCACATACTTAATGAAATGATATGTTAGATTGCTGTTCACTCGATCTTTGCCTTGTTAACTGGTTACTTTCCCAGCACCATAAGGCCAGCATTGAAATTTAGAAATTGAGAAATATATCCAGAGTTGCGTCTTACTCATGCTTAGAAATTCAAACGGTACCTTGAGAAAAGCTTTATCTGATTTATGTCGCTCGCTCTCAAAATCTGCATTTGAACCGGTTGTGCTTCCTTTATAAGGAATGAGATATTCTTCGCGGGCCATTTTTTTGGGGAAACCTTGCAGTTCGACAATGGATTTTTGGGCAATGTGAATGCACGTACATTGTACAACCCCGCTACTTATTACAGAAACATACATTGACAAAAAAAAAACAACGTATCCATACATTAATTCTCCTGCAGTTCAGAAAGCTCAGGAATGGAAAAGTACACAGCTGAAATATCAAAATAATTGTTTTTTAACAGCTAAATCACACTTTCACCTGGGTCAGAAAATCATAAGCATACCACGAAAAATGATATCACTTTCTTCGTATTCATGCGTCATGCGCGTTTTCGTCAACACTATAGCTAGAAAAAACCCTCCGGGCATGGAAATACATGATTTTTATCTCATTATGAAAACATTCATTGTGAAGTGCCCTCTAGCGATTCCAGTATCAAACATTGGGAACCCGGCGTGAAAAGGACAACAATAGTGAATCAAAAGTTACACGCTTGCAGCGCAATATGGAAAAGCTTTGATGCATTCCCCTTCGGAACAGTGCGTTTAATCATTCAGTGGCTTACAGTCCAATTCCATATCGATGATAAAAGCTGAAATATTAATAAATTTTGTGAGGGAAAATATTAAAAATCAGCAAGCGTCATGACCCCCTTCCTTCCCCATCATTGAGAGTTCAACGTACACGTAATAAGATATATGATAGCGTATTGTTTTCTGGTTTCTGTAGTGATACCGTTTCAAATCCATTTCTTGACCCCTGCATGACCGATCGCTATTCACTAAAAAAGTTATCCGACGAATAAAGTCTTATTGGGCATCAATAGGTACTTCGATCGGGTTTCATTGAAATGACTTGAAGGTTGATTGGGTCTTGGACTGTTTTGATGTTGGTTGTGATGCTTTTAGGACAACCACGGTATTCATAGACGAGTCTGACTGGGCTTTGCTCAGACAAATCGAGTAGTAAAACGATTTGTGTTGCAAACAAGTCACCATATAAAACATGTATTAACTGCCAATGTGTTATCCAGTGGGGAAGAGGCGGGGGTAGGGCATTGCCGGTAGAACGGAATTCAGATGGCATCTCATCACATAAAACAGTTTCTATTGACAAGTCATGGAAGACGACATATGAAGACCTCTGTGAACAGTACGTAAGTTGGTCTCCAAGTAAGCCGGTTTGGGCTGCGTCATCAACTGTGACATGGCCCATAAGAATCCGCGGCTCTGTTTGTCTTTCTCACGACCTTCCATGACACATCTCTCCACCACGGATCAATACACCATGTAATTTGGCAAACTTTATCAGTCCCCACTGCTTACTTCAAGTGGGTACTACGATAACGGGACACTCTGGAGTATTTGGTGAGGGGCAGGGACTGGAGAAGTGACGCTTGACAAGTTATCACCCTGCTCGCTTGTAAACCACGCCCCCTTGTTTGCGCGCGACTTTTAGGCACGGGTGATTGACGTTGTATTGATCAACCGATCACTTTGATTTGTTAGTATTTCACGGATATATGGAAGTGCTATGACATTCAAAAATAACATGTTTGTTGTTGTTGTTTTTTTTTTGTTTGTTTCGTTCCCCACTGCTTCTGGACTGTCTTCTGTCTGCCCCCATCTTTCCATCTTTTCTTATATCACATTTTCTGCAATAATTATTTTTTCTAGTTTCATATCATACGGAGTTTCTCCACACTTTCATTAAGACAGTACGATAGTCCATCAGGGATGTGATAATTTCACAAGCATTTCCCATTTAATCAAACCTAGGGCTGATGACGTGATAAGGTGGACCAATTTTCACTCACGTCTTATCTTCCCCGCCTCAGCACGTTCTGAGCGTGTCAACTTTCGTCTCCCGGCGCGTGTCACAGTCAACGACGCCAAACCTATGCGCCATGGCAAGACGACTGACGCGTTAATTAGAGTGTCAAAATGGACTCCTCTGACACGTATCTTCTTTCTAATATCTTTATCTTTAATTGCCAAAAAAATGGCCATAGGAACAGCTCTGGTGGTGGTTCTTTCGCGGTATAATTTAGTCTTACCGCGTTTCGCTTTACCGCTTTCCATCAAATTTA